GGGGGGGAGGAAAGAGATAATATTAGTTCCTTAAGTTTGAAACACAGATTTCTGTCTGTCTGTCTGTCTGTTTGTCTGTCTGTCTGATGCTAGATACGATGATTCCCAACATGCATTCGAGGGGGAAAGGGAGGAGTTGGGAGATTTTTATTGACTTTTTTGTTTCTTTCTAATTTTGTTTCTATTTTTCTTTGTTTCTTTATTACTTTATTTATTTGTTGGTTGTCTTTTATGAGGGGGGAAGTATTGGATTAGAAGGGAGGTATCTGCGAAGGAAGGAGGGTTGGGAGGCGTAGTTAGCCCAGTCTGGACCAATTTTTAATTTGGTTTTTTATTTCAACCATTAAAAGGTTGGTAACAACATGAATACAATGAACTAATATACACATTCGTTTTTATTTGGGTTTGGTTTGTTTGGTTTATATTTCTTTTTTTTTTGGGTCTACTCTCTTTTGATTTGTCTTCGTTTTTGGGGGGATAGGGGTTCTTTTTTTATCGTATTTTTGTGTGTGTGTTTGGGGGGGGGGGTCTTTTTTAAATTTCAAAACGCCAGCAACGTTGTCTTTACATTTGTGTTAATTATTAAATGTGCTTACTGCGTGATTAAAGAGTAAATGAATCCACAAAGCTTACCGTAAATCCCATGATGAAAAAGGAATAGCGTTCGCCGTGAGTACATCAGTCACTCACTCACGCGCGCGCGTCGCTCTGTCGTTGTGTCACGTGAGCGGCTTTTATATACCCCGGGACGAAATGAAATAATGAACGAATAACGAGTTTGTATAAGTAGTGCATGGATTAGTATCTCTGTCTCTTGTTAGTTTGTCTTCTCGTACAAGATTAGTTGTAAACACTGTAGTTGGGATGATAAAGTATAATACGTAATGTAGACGTAATAGGGTGATGAGAGACAGGACGGGGTGTGGGAGTTTTGGCGTTGGGGATGAGGAGAGTAGATTTTTAATTAGGGAGAGATCGTGATGGGTTTGGGGGGAGGGGGTGCGCGGAGGGTGGGAGGAGATGGTTTGGAGGAGGGGAGAGAGGGAAAAGGGGGAGGGGGAGTCTAATCAGTGGAAAATAGACTTGGGCATGGGTGGAAGGTGGTCGTTTGGGAAGGATGGTTGAGGGGAAAGGGTGAGTGTGTAATCAAAGCCAGATCGGGCAAGGGAGGGGTGGGGTTTGGAGGAAGAGAGGTGGTACCTATCAGAGCCAGATGAAGAGGGGATGGGGTGGGTGGGTTATATGGCAGTGGACCGTCAATCACGGGAAGATTGGGGGGTACGGAGTGGATGGTTTGGGGAGGGAGTGGTGGCTTGGAGGAGGTGGTCATGAAGATAAAGGTGAGTGTGTGTAGGGTGGGGGTTGTGGGGTCTTCTGTACCAGCAGAGTCATTACAAATGACTACAGATGAGCTACAAATTAAACAAGGGGTGTGTGTGTGTGTGTGTGTGTGTGTGTGTGTGTGTGG